GTTACATACTCTGTCCTACTGGGCATGTATTAATACTCGGTCTGGATAGTGCTTAATTACTACTAGGTCCTTAGTCATTACTATAATAAACATATCAGTACAATAAGTGATCACTGCAATTGTATAAACACAATAAATGATCAATGCAACTGTAAAAACACTTTTAACATAGTATAGCTGTAACCTCACCGGGCAATTGCATAATTCTAATTACCTTCTTTTTTCTTTTCTGATTTAAATTGGTGCAAAAAGAATGCCGACAGTCCCAAAGAAATACTTCAATGTTATCTTATGCCAGAAAGCTTAGTCCTGGATGACCGTAAATAGATCAGAAGGAGCAGGAAATGTAGCTCTGTAGCAATTAATTCTGCTGACCATCCTGCTTTTCTATCATCAACAGAACATATAGTACTGATGTGGTTACAAACCACATTTCATCACCTTTATTTATCTAGTTCAAATAATCACATTTATGGCTAGGATGACTGGGGTTGTCTAAAGTAAAGACAGACTCCTTGGCTTCATAGTAAATCACTATGCTTACCTGCTCTGTATTGTGTCCATGTGATCTAACTAACAGAGCAAATAGCACTAACAGGTCTTCTCAAACTTAACATTTATTAAGAACTTGCCCAGACACAGAGTTTCCAGTGGCTAATATATTTATTAACTATTCTGAAAGCACAGAAGTTCTGTAGGAAATAGTATTTTAACCAAGTAGGATTCATTTTCTGTCAAATACTACAGAATAGGTTCCATGTACGGAGAAAGAATTGACTACAGAGCAGTACCTAAGCATGGTTTTGACCAGCAGATTGGAAGATAAAATCAACGGTAGCTGCCAGAATTCATATACTGTAAGAATAAGAAATGCTGAACTCACAAAAGAGATATACAATTGTATATATTTAACAGTGACACACTTCATTTTCCTGGAGTATTAAAGTTGCCACAAATCCTGTAAAAGTGCTGAGCAAGAAAGTGGGCAGACCAGTAAATTCAACACAATGTCGATACTAATACAGCCCAAGAATAGTATGAATACAGTCTGACGGAGACATGACACGGCAGAGAGGACACAGGATCAGAGCCATTATTTCTGTTCAGAATCTGCCCAGGCAGTTTACTAACAATATTCTGCTGGTGGAACATACACAGCTCTTCACTCAGCATTTAAACTGTGCGTGTAAGTAACTTGTATATAGATATGTACCAGAAAAAAATCTGCTAGAATATTTATAGCTTTCATTCCTCACCTGTGCTTTTAAAATTCCTACACCATAAGCTTGGAAGAAAGTAAATTAGTCACCATTAGTACAAACAAGCAAACAAACAAAAATACTTCTGCAGTTCTAATATAAATATTTCATGTATTTAAAAAAAAAAAAAAGACAAAATGTCACTTAGCAAAGATTGCACTTGTATTAGTCCTTCAAAAATAAGTCTGTTTAATTGTATCTTTTTTTATTGCAATTGTCCATTTGGATTATAGTCTGTAAGAGTAATAAGGTAGCAGCTTTTGTTTAGCCAGTTCAGACTGACAATGATACTAGTAAATTAAATTGTAAAAAACAGGACATTTTTTTCATGTAATCAAGACTTCTCCATGTGCCACTTAAAGCTAGATGAGCAGCTTAGGAGCAATCCTAGCCTACTGCAGGAGGAAGCAGGTTTGTTACTGGCATAACTGGGGTCAGAGTATTGCCCGTTTGTCAGACAATAAATACAAGAACACATTTGCCTTTTACCTTGTAACAGTCAGATCTTGTAGCCTGGATATTGCTGAGAGTTTTAGCATGCAGGGACAACTGGATTTTTTTTATTTATTCATTCATTTACTATAGACTTTTCAATGGTATATACATTTCTCTGAGCACATTAAGTATGTCTGTAAGCTACTACAGACTGGAATCTCATGGATTCTTCTGGAAATTACATTTTGCTTAAGATGGGCCTCATCAAAAGAGAAACCAATCAAGAGAGACATTCACCATGCTCTGAGTGAGGTAATCTGGCTTCTTATGAAATGATAAGGCTGTTACAGACCTAGGCAGCCTCCATAAATAGATGGGAGCCTGCATACAGGAATAAGAGCTTGCTCTGCAGACCTCACATTCGTGACCTCAGCTGACTGATCCCCAGTCTATAAAAATTATGTTACACGGTGATTATACGTCCTCAGAGGAAGACTGACTATTTGAAAAGAAAGCAGTTTACCAAACCTCCCTTTTCCTTCCCCCAGGAATTTATAACAATACAATCCAAACTTGTATGTAACGCAACTTAATGGCATCAACTCAAAACAAGAGAAAATCCAATACAGAAATAAATAATTGTGAAAAGCAACCCCAGGCAAGAATCTCAAACCAAACAAGGCATGGAAAGTCTACAAATACAAAACCAGTTTAAAGTACCTCAGTGGCTTTGAGCTGACAGCTCTTTTTCATACAGCTGATAGAGCAGGAAGTTTTTACTACAGCCTGAAACATAGATTCAGCCTCTTACAAGTATAGTTAAGTCTCTGTTGTAAAGAGAATGGAAGCCTTTTGCTCTCTTAGTTTACACCAAATTTCATCAGCCTGCTTTACTACACACTGAATACTCCATAGATAGATTGCAGAAGTGCAGATGACAAAATTATAATGCTCCTCCCAGTTAACTAAACTCAGCTGTCAGTTTACATTATTAAAAATATTTTATTAAAAAAAATTATATATGTGTAATAGAGTTTCTGCATGCTGGAGTGTAGGGACAAACTTTCAAGATTAGAGATAGGATGATTACCTCCTTCCTGAATTCCAGAGATGCTGAATATCCACTGATACATCTTATCTGGAAGCATCTGAGTTTTCTTTTAAAATCCTTGAGCTCTGCCAGAAATTCCCACCAAATTAGGCAGGCCTCACCAGTCCAACATGAGCATGTCGTGGATGAAGTGTGGAGCTCAGCACGATCCACACTGGCTCTGCAATATGCCAGCCAGCACGGGCATTTTTGCACTGTGCTTCTAAACCTAGAGCTTAAGGATGCAGCAGGAGCCACTCCTCAGCCATGAGCAGCTGGACCCAGCGATGCAGGGAATATTGACAGTTTTCTGAGGTAAGGCTTGGACACAGCATCTGAAGAACCACAGCCCCAGGCTGTATTGAAAATCATGTTTAGAGGGGAATTACATTTCAGAAGTCTCAGATGCACGGTCCTCTGACCACACTTCTGTTTTCAAAAGGCAGTGGAGAGTGCAAGTGGTACAGACCCAGGAAGGATAAAGTACAAGGATCCCAAACTACAAGGAAGACAAAAACAATTGTTCTACAGGCATCACTCCAATAGATAAATCTATAATGCATTACCATGTGGTAATTCTCCTGGGCAGCCACAGCTAAAATTACTCAGCACCATCAGGGCTTTCTACTGAACAACCCAAAATCCATCTACTCACACAGCATAGACTGGAAAAGTTTGGTATTTCACTCCTGTTGCTTTGTATTCAAAGTTACTTGATCACTAATAGGGCAGGCATCTTAATTATGTGAGTCCCTAAAACTGCTGCATCAAAAGGGTTGATCTCTGGAGTGAATCTGTGCGGCTCCATTAAGGGTCATGAAATCACACCAGCTGAAGATGTGCCCTACACTAAAACCACTGACTGTAAATAAAGCCTAAAAAAAAAGGAGTAACTTCATTCTAACGAGGCAATTAGCCTGATCCAGTGCTGTTTTGGTTGGTACCAATTACAGTTTCACTAATGATCTTCAGAAGCCAGGTGGATTTTATCCACAGCACATACAACTTCACATCATAAGCCTCCCACTGAAAGGGGTGAGATTATTTGGGTGTAAAGAACTACATGAGGGCAACTGCTACAATCTAGTACAATTGGATGAAGACAAGGCACTGTGTTCAGCAAAATTTATGTCTTACAGGAAATGGGAAAGTTGTTTAAGCAATCTATTATCATTTAGGTCTCAGAAGATTTGTTTAAACTGTGGAAGACAGGAATTTGTATTTTATATACAAACTGGACTTGTACCCTCTTCTTATCCACATTATTTAACGCACCATTTCATATATGTTGTCTTGTCAGTGAATGAGGAGAGCAAATATGACAGCTGACCAGCTATGCACTGGAATTTTTTAATTTTATCTTAGCTTCCCAGGCTTATAAGAAAGATCTCTCTATCTCAAATATCTGATATTTTCTAACCTTTACATAATACTGATACTCTCACAAATCCCTCTGACTTTCATGTACACATAACCAATGAAAAACCACAGCAAAGGAAATTAAGATGAAGTATTTGTGAGAGATATCATATAAAACTTAACCTGCATCTGAGACACAAATTAGATTCTTTTTGAAACAAAAGGCCAAAATGCTGTTCAAAACTTGTTCTGTCATTTGCTCCCGAATACAAACCTCAAATGACAGATATGCAGAGCTTGTTTTGTACATAGTTTTTGCCCATTAACAACTCTACTCCAAACTACGTAGCACTGGGACCATGCTTGCTCCCAGTTCTGCAGCATGCACTCTAGCAGTATACAGTCAAGTACATTTTAAAATGTGCCTATGTTTCTATTTATAGGACTTCAAGAACAGGGAGTAATGTGACACATTTTCAGTGTTTGAAGAACAAAGCCTAAACTTGCTGCTGAGAGGATATTTCTCATAAAAGATGACCTGATCCTTGTCTTATAAAAAGGTTTTATTTTTCAATAGAAAAGTATATTTAAAAACACAATTATTTGCTAAAAGCAATATAAAACTCTCCAGTTTTTACTTCATAAAAGTTTAACAAAACATAAATATTGTTTACCACTTACGTTCCTATATACAGACCTTTCATTAGATAGTTAAATAGGTCAAGAGTTACTAGCTCAGAAACGAATGGCACACGACTACATGAGATTCAAATTCCATGTCACACTGCACAATCACAGGAACACAAGGAGCAGCTTAAAATCCTCAGTCACCGAATTCTGCTTTGTTCTCTTTACAGCTACGTTCCTCTTTTCTCTACAATAATGCACCAGTTTCCATGGTCATAGCAGGAAGAAAGTATCTGAAGCTCAGGTACATTCTCTTCTACCAGGGAGCACAGCTCCCCTTCCCGAAAAACATGGTAATAACGCATGAAGGCTTTTGTATCCAACGTGGCATCAGTTTGGTCCCCAACAGACACTGCTGAATCCAAAGCGGAGTCAGTGGAGTCAGTTGTTGAAGTTCTTTTGAAAAACTTGCTGGCATTAGATTTGCCAGCACCATCTTTATTACAACCGCAGCTGTAGTCCCTGTCTTCCACTGGGCCGTTTATAAATGAAGCTTCTTCACTCTTGTCCTGAGCTACAGCTTGGTGTCCTCCATTTAAACTTAAATCCTTCAGTGCATCTGCGGCTGGTGACCACTGTGGGTTTTTGAGAGGCAGGCTTTCCACGAACACATCATCATCATCTAAACTTTGTTCTTTTAACAGTGCCCCATGGTGACCTAAATCCAAACTGCAGTGTCGCGAGTGCTGAACGGGTACGGTACTGTTTGCCCATTCTCCCTCATTCTTCAGAGGTTTCATCTTGTCAGTTTGCTTTCTCAGGGCTGATTCATCAAGTGATCTGGAGAAAAACCATGAGCGGAAAGACCTTCCTAGAGCACTGTAAAATCTGTTTTCTTCAGAAATTTTCATGCAGCAGGCTCTGGATAAGCAATGGTCCGTATTTCGGGAACGTTTTGAATCAGTTTCTGGCTGCAGATTGGTTTGGTAGCTGCAGTCAGAGATGACTAGCTGTGCAGGGTGTACATCTCGGCTTTTTACAGCATGCACAAACTCACCCTTATCTGCAGATTGATTCGATTCTGAAAAATGCCGTGAGCACAAGGCCTTGTTCCAAGGAACAAACACGTCTTGTTTCTCAAAGCGACGATTCTTTTGTTCCATAGCCCAAACATAAATCATCATCTGCCCTCCGGGTATCAATACCCTTGCCATTTCCTTTATTGCTTTGATTCTCCTTTGTTTAGTTGAGAAATGATGGATCACTGTGAAAAAGGAAAGGCATTATGTTTTGAATATTAGTAAGGACATAGCATTTTTGCCTTCAACCCGTTCTACGTGTTGAATCATTTTAGTTGCCATATCACAAATATCTCTCACTGCAAGTCAGCAACACTGCAAGTTTACCCCAGAATGGTCTCTCTTACATTTCTATTAAATGGAGAAAAGTAGGCAAATCCTAAAGACAGAAATTTATTTCATTTCAAAATAAGGAGTCAAAGTAAGTCAGGCATATAAGCTGGAGGTTTCTGTTTCTCTACATGACCATAAAAGACCATAGCTTTCACTTAGATGCCTGGCCTTTCGGTGAATTAGATAAGATTAAGGTTGACTTTAGATTTGGGACACATTTCAGACTTATCTTACCGGAAGCAGAAAATCTTTTCACCATGTAACAAATACAGCAAAAAGTAATATCAGTAAAAAGATGATCTGTATTTTTATAGCAGTGCACTTTCAAATGAGCTAGTGAGACAATTTAGACAGAAATATTTTCCATTGCATTTATTTTGTAGAAAGGTATTGCCTTTATTCAATGTTTACTTTGGAGGAAAAAAAAAAAGAAAAAAAAAGTAGTTCAGTCTACATCTGCATGTCTGAGAATGGTGATTTTTTTGTTACATTACATAATGTTACTAAAACATAAAAAGTCAAAGTAAAAAATAAAGCTATTGATCACTATACTTGAATTGTCTTTCCAGGGTAATTTCCACATTTTCAAATTCCACGGCAACGTGAAATGAAGCTGTGATTCAAGATTTCTACACTGTTTATATCTCCCTACTCACCTGAAGGAACCAATTTTATCAGACAGTGAATAACTAAAAGTCAGCTATTTGCTCTCTGAACTCTCAAAAACACTAACTTGTACTGAGATTGGTCATGTTGGTCATGTTCTATATGCCATCAGTACTAGATTTGATTCAAATCAATGACGTACAGAGGACTGATTCCATAATTCATTTCAAGTGGACTTGGAGCCAGCCACTTCTACATGCAAAACATTCGATCTACCCATATAACAACATATAAAAATCATATATGTTCTTAGCTGAAGACATCTCCATACCTCCAGAAAAATTAGATTATCTTTATATGTGCCATTTGACAGTAGCCAATTCTACTTGTAGAAATAGTGTTATTTCAACACTGCAGTTATGACAAGCGTGTCCAACTGGCCCTGACTTTATTCAAAACAATGATTAAATTACCAAGGGGAAAAAAAGTAACTTTTTTTACCACAAGCCAAGAAAAGCATTCCTGGCAGTTGATATAAACTAGGGCCTCCAAGCAGCTGAGAACACAAGATAGCAAACTCAGAGAAGAGTTCCCCAGTCTATATGGTCAGTGTTTATTCCCAGGTACTCCTGGCTCTTGCCAATATTTTCTTGAACTTTGCAAAAAAACCCATAAAATACTATTTCAATTTCTTCAACAAGATGGGGAGAAAGGAACTCATATTTTCTGTCATACAGAGTTAGGCCATATATCACCACAGAACGTCCTGCAAAACAATGTCAAAGCTGACAGACACAGTACAAGCATGTGATCTGAGTTCACCAGAAAGAAATGCCAATCCACCAACAGAATCTGTGCAAGCTTTATCTAAGCAATTCATTAAATGAGTTACACATTCGTCATGGTTAAAATTATATAATCACTCCGGTGGTTCTGCAGAAATATAAATCCTATAAACAAGATTATACTAGCAAAGCCAAGAAGAGTATTTAACTATGTACATAAATACTTGCTATTCTCTGGAACGGGACGAAAAACACTTTATTTAGAATTAGATGGACACAGGCATACCATGTCTCTACTCAAGAGGGATTAAAATCCATTATTGTTAAATGTACAGAAATACTACATGAACTTTTAATCTTGTCAGGCCTATAATTGGTATAAACATGAGATAGGTATGCTGTCCTTCAAAGTCAACTGATCTGATAGCACTGAAATTATGCTACAAGATCTGCAATGTGGATAGAGCTCACTGGTTAACCAGCCAACATGAAAGCAAGGTAATACAGATACCTGTTACATACTAGACACCCTTTCTTTTACCCTGCATATGTGAAAATACATTTTAAAATACATTTCTATCATTGTTCAAGTAGTTTGTTGATTGCTACCAATAATAATTATCATGCTTTATATTTTTGCTGTTGCAGTGAAATAGCCCGAAAGAAGCTCAAGCAAGAGTAGAGCTAAAAATGTAGACTGTAACTGGGTACTCTAACTTGTCCTCATCTACCCTTTTCCAGTTTATACTTCTCAAATTATGAGTAATATTTTCAAAAAGAGAGGTCAGAGGAGTTAAGATGCTGAGATGCTTCACTCATTTTAGACAACAGGCACTTGTATGGGTCTAAGTTCTTATTTCATGACTATTCTAAGAAAAATTTGTATTCATAACAGTTAACATGATTCAAGTTCTGCTATAGAGAAAGCAAGTTTTCATTTCAATGCATTTGGTGGTCAAAACAGATCCTAAGGAGGAACCAAGAGTTTATCTTGACCACCTAATCTGTTTAAACTGTGAGCAGCCATGTTTATATTAGCTTTTACTTGTTTAAAATGCATGCTGGAAGGAAATCTTTTCTCCACAGGGTGAACAAGACCACATATAAACAAACAAATGATCCACATATTTCCCTGGTCAACAGCGCCTCTGTGCAATGGAACTAATTTCTTTTTTTCTTTCCATGTTTACTACATTAATTTCAGTAATATCTGCTGTGATTCTAAGGGAATCGTTTCAGAACACATTTAACTGAAATGAAGACACATGGAAAGAAAAGGATCCAAAAAAATCTGCGTTTGCTGTGGGCTAGAATGCACGTCTGTTGTCTTACCTCCAATGGAAATGACTGCATTGAAGCATTGGTCCCTAAAGGGAAGGTTAAGGTTGTCACATACCAGAACTTCATCATCTTTCCTCCTTGCAATCTCTATCAATGGTCCACAGTAATCACAGCCGACATTATACACCTGACTGTTGACACTGAGATACTTTCCAGTTCCGCAACCTAAAGAAAAGAATACTAGATCAGAAGTTGTGTGTTCCAAACACTTGCTATCCCTCCCAAAGCAGTGAAAATAATGGCGAGGCTTTCCTAACTGAAATTTTGTTTTCCTGGAAAACAAAATGAGAGCTTGCTCCTGCTAGCCTACCTGCTGCAGGCTTCATTTGGGCTGTTTGAAATTCCATGTCCACATCGTTAGGAGTGTAACAGTAGCAACATCACCAACAAAGAGACTCATTACACAGCCCTGTGTAATAGCAGGTTATGTGTATTTCTTTGGGGAAGAAGGGTAAGTGCAGGTGGGAGGAGGAAGGAGTGATCCTCTGCAGCCACTATTGCATCTCTTAGAGCAAAAACCCCAACCATCCTGCTTCATACTGAGCTTTTATATAGCCTGGTGTCCTGTTTCCAACAATGAGTATAAATGGGTGCCCAGGAAAGAGTAAGAACAGGGTAAGCATTACGACCCTTTTCCTCAATACCCTTCCAGCTTTCTACTGGAACTACGTTCTGTTCTTTTTAGCGACCTGGGATAGATCTCTCTCCCAAGTACTTCCCCAGTCTTTGCTAAACCCCACGCAGTCCCTCTCCAGTGCATCCCATTTCTCTCCAAGAAGTCCTAAACCACAGCTGTCACTGACACGAGTCAGGACAATTTTCATTTCAGATACAGACTTGAAAATAACCGTGAATCATAAAAATTCCTGCATGTCGCAGGCACGTCCTCTTTCTGTCTTCGTGCTAATGCATTATAACGCATGTAAATGTAATGAACTGTTCCAGAATGTCTTCTGCCTAAAAGTATGTCTTCTCAAGGACTGTGCTGTACTAAATTGAAATCTTTCAGAGTGTTCTTCAATACCATATGCGTAACAGGCACTTTTCAAAATTAGATTAGGAAACATTCACTGCAGTTATGGGTCAGTAGTGAAGAATAATTTCTGAAAGTTGACAGCCAAGCAACGGGGTAGCAGCTTGGCAAAGAGAACCATCTCAGTATTGGTAATTCAATTTAAAGGCCTGGAGTTATCTTTAGAAACATCACTGCTTCTTGCAGGGCTGCTGCTCTAGTTGATGTTAATATGCACCATTATCTAGAGAGACAGCACAGGAACTGTCGGAGAACAGCACAACACTTCAGCGATAAAAAAAGAGCATATTTCTAAAGCAAAAAGCACGCACTATTCTTTGAAGTAACACTTGACAGAAATGGAAAAGATTAATATTGTTAATGCAGTTCAAGGAATATATGCAATAAAATACGAAGCTCTGCATGTTAGTTAGAAAGTGCAAATTTTAAAATTAGTATAAAGTATTATTGGTTACTGTATTTGCAGAAGGAACACATTTAGTCAAGTGCACATGAATTTAGAATTCCGTTGCTTAATACATGGCTTTTGGTGGAATGCTTTTTAATCACAGTGAGTTTTTGGAAGTATAAGGTCCTCTGTGGAATAAAGCTAAATAGTGACAACACTCCCGGTACTCTAAAAATCTCTGTTTGCAGGGGATTCACTTTTAAATGAGTCTTCAGGAGGGTGGATTCCTTCATGAAGCTGTTAACAATGGCCATGCTATTGTCATTTGTCTTGATGAATGAACAATAAAAAGGCAATTAGACACAATGATATTTTAATAAAAGGTGGTATTAGACAGAAAAGGAAATTATCAATTGAAGATCTTGTTTTTAAATTTTAGTGCCACTAGGCAACCCTCCTCCCAAAATACGTACCAAAAATAAGCACAATAGTCAGATTTCTGTAGATCTTATTAAACCTCATGGAAGGAGGTACCTCATGTGCCTTGATGGGAATATTCCTACTGGAAACTGTGAGCATCTACCTTCTCTCCAGATGCATCACATGCATTTAAATTATTTCAGCTGAAACTGTAACAGAGTGATCTTTAGCTTTCGGCAACCACTGTGATACCTGCTGACAAAGCCTCAAAGAATTCAGATAAGCTTCAAATTCCTTCTATTGAGGTGACAAAAAATTTTGTCTGACAAAGTATCATGTTAAGTTGACTGCTGAATGAGTGTATGCCATAGGACGTTTCCTGAGATTATTGGTGAAAATGGTGCAGATATATAAAAGAAGATACGTATTGAAATTACAGCAACCAAGTATTTTGGGGGTACTGCTCAACAGCAGCAGGAGAACTACATGCTATATTTTGATTATGACCAACAACATCTTCAAATAGTGTTTTTCTCCTATAGGATAGGGCAGATGCATAATTTGTTGTGTACATTTATTACACTTTGCTGTGTAAAAGCATTTTATTAGTCTAACCAGTGAGGAAAATCCAGTGGTGCAAAGGAGCATCTGGTTTGCAGTGATGTGCTGTATAGGAATGAAGTCATAACACAAACAAAGCAAACACACCAGGACCTGGAAATCCCTAAAAAGTCTACAGGTGCAACAGAAAATCAAGGTATAAACTGAATACGTGGGGAAGAAAACACCGTAGCAGGAAAATGAGGTTTTGGCGTCCGTATTCAGGATCATAGGGAGAATCTCAGATCATAACTTTTTGGGTTTTTTAACACCAATCACATTAGAAGATTTCTCTTAAAATAAAGCCTTGATAGGAGGAATTTTAGAATAAATGAAAAGCAGTAAATTGCAGACCAGCAGTACTTAAATCGAGACATCTAAAGAAACTGAAACATGAAATAATTGAGCTATTTTAACACCATTTTTTAAAAAGGGCTCCAGGGGAATGACAGACCACTCAGCCTGTGGGGAAACTGGTAGATTAAGGCTTAGCTCAATAAAAATAAGGCAAAAAATTTATTTACTGACTACCTGATACACTGTCAAAGAAATAAAACAAGTGGTATATGGCATCTAATACAGGTTTAAAAATGATTTTAAAACAATTTTTAAAACAAATTTAAATGAGTTTTAAGAACAGTTGCTCTAGAAGGGTACATGTGATTAACATAAACCAATAAAGCTTACAAACAATCTTTCACACCACCTTAAAGACTGGCATACCTATATCAGCAACAAGACTGCCAGGCTTTTGTTCCAGCAGGAAGTTTCGAACACGAGGCCATGCTTTGCTCTGCAGATCACTAAAGTAGGCAGCTGTATTTTCATACACACTATGCACGTGCTGCTTTTCTAGCTGGGTAGCCTCATGTTCCATCCTGAAAACATAATGAAGAAAGATTATGTACAACAAAACACGAACTGTTGTAGCATAGACTTTACATTTTACAGGCATGCATAATTCAGGACCTTGTAAGTTTACATTCATAGAATCATTACACCCAACTAACAGCCATCATATTTATAAAATGGCCTTTACTTGAAGGATCTGCTTTTATTTCACAAAAATCAAGAAAAAAATTGAATGTATCATCTTGCCTGACAAGCATTATATAACTGTGTGTGCCTATTCAACAATATGCGCATTCCTAAGTTCATCGATGTAGTAAAAGCTTATCTGGTGCAAAACGGAGCCTGTATTCAGAAGTGCAGAATGATTAAGAACAGGAAGTTAAAAATAGACTTTCCAGTTGTTGCTAAGTTGGGTAGGTAGGCAAACTATTACTATGTTATTTGAAATACAGCCTGGACCCTGAAACCAAAGCCCCTGAATCACACATAAATTATTTGTGATTTATCTACCCTCCAGAAGTGATGAGTTGGTTGTAATTTTTCAGCAACAAACTCATGATTTTCCTGCTCCCACTCCGTTATCTTCATTTCTTAGCAAAGTATTTTAGTTTAGTAATTCATTTAAAGTGGTTTCTTCTTAGACTGTTAATATTACTCCTAAGCTCATGTAAAACACCACGTGGATGCAGACATTGAATCCCTTTATACAGAATCTTACATCTTCCTTAAGATTTCCCCTCATTCAAGCACCAACCAGGTCAGGCTTTAATATCTGATGGAGCCTGATGAGATTATATCTCAAAATGTTAAGGCATTTTTCAAACTAATTCAAACTGCCTGTTTGTTCAGGAAATGTTCCGTCCCATTATTAAAACAGAACTTATTTAATTGTCCGAGTACTCAGCAGAGATTAAAGTCTGTTTCCAAATTTATTCCAAGAAACTAAGCAATATACTATCAAAATGAAATTATAAAAGTGACTCCCTTGGCTGCATTTGAAAATGTCAGAAGCAAAGACTTTAAACACAACAAGTTCTTCTTTTGCTTCCCTTGATTTTCAAATAATATACATTTTGAAATAATAATTAAAAAATGTTTCTGTCACTTTTACTGTTGAAATATTCAAATTATGAGAAAAGATTTAAAATAAAATATTACGTATAATAACAAATAATGCGAGCTCTTCAAAACACCTGTCCTCCAAACACAACCTTTTTAATTTAGAAAATAGGAGTTAATAAAAACAAACAAAAAACCTCAAACAAAACCAAACAAAAAAACCCTTCAAGTTAAGTGTGTGTGAGTGCTTACAAGGATAGTATGTAAGATTCGATCCATTTCACTTATGGTTTTATGTAGTCTGCTATGCAAGAGATGGGCTCAAATTGTTACAATTGTCAGTCTATTCTGACTGCAGTATCTATGAATACAAAACATTTCTGTTCAATGTTTTCACAATCCTTACTTTCATTTCTTCTAGCACGACCCACATTTTTCCTTTATGATGCATTAGCTCACCTTTTACCAGCTGAAAAAAAAAATATATATATACACACACACACTTCATATATATATTTCAGTAACGGTATAGTAAATTCCTAATGGCACATTTTCAGTGTCATCTTGAAGAGCGGAAAACTGTAACAGACTGAACAGCAGAAGTAGACAGTGTTGAAACACAGACTTGAAATGATATTACATGCACCAGAAGTTACTCACTCAGAACTTTTCTCAAAATGCCATTTCAAGTTATGTTGTCAAATAGGATGAGTTAGTTGCAGCAATTTCAAATAATTATTCCTTAGAGTCAAAAGCCCATTCTCTTCTTATTATTTGACCCTTAAATAAAACAAATTGGGTGTTTCATGTCTGCAGCTGTCTTTCTTCTCTGCCTCACAACATACTCTGTTTTGTTGTTCAACTGCCTAGAAATCCTCTATTTATAAGTAGAGATTCCAAAGGCTAACATTTATTTTCTTTTGTCATCTGATATGCTCCTTGTTCTAGTTTATGTTTCATGTTTGGTTACTACATGGTTCAATGTTTCCAAGTGTTTTTATCTTTCCACTTGAAGCTCTTTGTTCAATCTTTGCAGTTCTTAAAAAAAGAAAAAAAGAAAAAAAGAAAAAAAGGAGAATGTTTTCAGTCATTCATACTGAACTCCAAATGCTACAGAAATTCCAGTTTATGCCAGCTGCAGAAGTAGCTGTCTGAACTGAAGGTTAATTTAAATATTTTAACTAAACACACAAGCCAGCATGGACTTGACTTAGAAGATGGTAAGAATTTTCCCACTGGTACAATGTTCTAGTATACTTTTCCTAAACTGTCTTTATTGAATCCCAATGTAGGCTGAAATTTGGCTTAGTTTCCTACTCAATCACCAGACCATTACGTTTTTTCTTTACCTGTCTCATTCATTGGGACTGGTGCTGAGCCTTCTGCTCTACGGGGCATGCTAGAGACTTCCATGTATTACAACACGGTGTTAGAGGCTATTATTTTTAGATACACTTAATAAACATTGTCTAGATAATAATTTGGTTATAATCTTAGAATAACAGTAGTAGACTAAAATACGAATTATTTCATTTACCATTTCATTACAATCCTGCTGATTGTTTATATTTTGTAGATAATTAAGTCACATGATGAAATCAGACTTGCCAATTTGACTTTCCAGTCAAGACCCACAACACTCTCAGGTTTTCCTTTGCAGCACGGCAGGGAAATGTCCTAGCAATAAACCTCTTCATTTCAATATTTACAAAAGGCAAGAAACCCGTAGAGTCTGACTGGACCTGCAGCTGTACTAGTTTCACATAAGCCTAATGTCACTGAAAACATCAGAAACTTAGAACTATGTAATTTTACAAGCCAAAGTCAATACCTCCATTTCTCTTTATAAACAAAAAACCAACAACTTCTTTGCCTTGAATGTTCCAGAGAGTGTCTCTGTGGCACATGAATTGTAGAAAATGTTCAGTTCATCCAACTTCTGGACTGTAACTTCCAGGATAATTGCAGTCTATTTTGCAAACGAAGTAACGAAAATCCAAGTCGTCCAGAAATCCCACTGCTTCAGCATCTGCTCCACTTCTCATTTAAGTTACCTGGAAGCTGTCCAATAAGACCAGCAAAGAGGAGAAGAAGAGCAGAAGGTGGAAATTACGGACACACTTTCCCCGTGCTCAATTCTTCTTTCCTGGTGCTTACGCTCCTGTCAAAGGGCTCACGCAGAGACCTGGTGCAGAGCGGGGAGCGTGCAGTAAATTGGCACCCAGCTGTTCAGTCACTCTGCAGCAAGTCTCCACAAGTCCCCAGTCCTCACGTTTGGATAACAAATGAAGAGCAGGATTCACTTTCCTTTCAGTGCGTCCTGGTCATCGAGGTTTGTTCATGAGACTACAACAGGCTCTTGTTGTGGCTGATCTACGAAGTGAGAAAACTGGATGGAAGTTCTAGTGTAATTTCTGCTGAGCTTGCGGGGAAATGGATCACCAGTCCATCACATGTAACTGTGGTTTATGAGCAAAGCCGTTTGAAAGTAAATAGGTTGCAGTACATTGACTCTTTCTTGCATTGCCATTTTCCTTCTTTGTTAAAAAAAAAAAAGCAAAATAAAAAATAAACTAAAATATGACAGCTTTCCAGGAGGTAAAAGGAATTGTATAAATATACGATATCATGTATTTTCATAGCTACATATCTCATTAAAGGTTCCCTGACCCTGAGGTAATCTAATTTCTTCCTTTTCCATTAACATTTTGCAACCTTTTAGATAATTAACTTTTCAAGGATACTGCTTTAAGGAAAGTCATGTTGCTTTGACATTTTCTATCACTGCTGAACTAATAAATACATTTAACTATGTGACCTTGAAATGACAACAACCAGAAATTAATAACCCCGGTTTCCAACATTTTAAAAAAAATCAGCATTTTTTTTTGGGGGGGGGGG